TTTTTTCTGTAACGGGAAAAAAGTTTGACATTTTATCTCTGTTGACAGGTAACAAAATGTCACTTTTTATGAAATTGCTTTTTTCCCCGGGAAAAAAGTGAGTACTTTTTTCCCGGATATATACAATATACATAAGTAACGCGATTTAGCTGGCAATAATTTTTGTGACGCTACTTTCGCTGCTTCGACTAACTCCGGTGGAGTCAGAGAAAACTCGGAATCAGACATTTTTTAACTTTATATTATTCAAAATAACTACTAAACAATCACTAAGTTTGCAATTTTTAAATTAAATCACAGAATTAAATTGACAGATATTTGATTACTTTAAAGGTTTCCTTAGCAACGCAGATGTAATTGTCGCTATAAGTATAACAGCCTACCAATTTAAAACTTTAGTGACTAATATATTGTAATAATGTTTTTTCTATATTAAATCGTTGTTTTTCCCGTCACAGAAAAAAATAGTGTATTATACACGGGAAAAAAGTAGATTTTTACCTCTCGGTTTTTTGTCTCCAGACAACACAACCTCGAGCTAAAATCTAGTACTTTTTTCCCTTGTATAATAAATATCTATAAAAATCAAAATTTATTACATTTCTAAACGGTTCTGTAAAATCTAAAGCATACTACAAAAAAAAGGCATACTTGTCGAAATTCGGTAGCAGGTACCATTTTCGAGAAAAATTAAGTTGCATTTTTTTGCTCACATAATAAAATATTAAATTGAAAGAGGACTTTACCATTGAATGGGCTGAAGACATTTAGCTACCAACAGTATTTACATTTAAGACTATAATTTTAATTTCTTACGAATCACATTAAACAGTTAAATTGTAAAACATTTTATTAAAAAAAAAATAGATTTATTTTAATTATTGTGCTTAATTAAATTGTCACAATTTCTAGTGATTTCAAACATATTCAACACGGTCATTTCAATAAATTAAGTAATAGACTTAGACATTTAACCTCATTTGTTGATAATGATGGTGTCATCAGACTTCGTGGCAGAATAAAACATTCTTTAACATTTGACGCTAAACATCCAATTTCATTAGATGCTCATCTCAGCTTTATAAAATTAATATTTGAGCATGAACATTGCAAGTTAATGCATGCAGGACTACAACTTTTATTGAATAACATTCGTCAAAAATATTGGCTGATCAAAGGAATGTATTTAGCAAAAAAGATTGTTAGAAATTGCTTAACGTGTTATAAGGTTAAACCTCAGACATGTAATAATTTGATGGGAGATCTTCCAGACAAAAGAGTTTTTGCTTTATCCCCATTTTTTGTAATAACAGGAATTGACTATGCTGGTCCATTTTCAATTAAAGACCGCAAAGGACGTAGCTGTAAAATTACTAAAGGCTATATTTGCTTATTTGTATGTGTTTCCATTAAGGCATATTGAGCTTGCTTCCGATTTAACCGCAAATAATTTTATTGCTTGTCTAAGAAAATTTAGTGCTAGACGCGGTTATCCAAATGAAATTTGGTCTGATAGTGGGATGAATTTTCAGGGTTCATCACGTATTTTGAAGGAATTACATTCATTTTTAAAGAATAATGAGTCATGTATTGTAGATCATTGTGCAAAAAATAATATTAAATGGAAATTTATTCCTGCTAACTCCCCACACTTTGTGGTATATGGGAATCAAATATTAAAAATGTCAAAACTTACCTGATTAAGGTCATTGGGGAATCTATCCTCACTTACGAAGAATTTGTTACAGTTTTAGTGCAGGTAGAGGGTATTTTAAATTCACGGTCACTGCATCCTACATCCTCTGATCCTTCAGATTTAAACCCAATCACTCCTGCACACTTCCTTATTGGAAAAACTTTGGTAATGCCTCCTGATCCTGCATCTGAAATTAAATAAATTGTCAAGATATCAGCTACTCCAACAGTTATATCAGAGCTTTTGGAAAAGATGGAAGAGAGATTATTTGTCTACCCTGCATCATCGTTATAAATGGAACACACAAGAGAACGTTTTTCATGTTGGAACTATGGTCTTAATAAAGAATGACAACCTACCTCCCTAAAAATGACTACTTGGACGAATTGTGAGTGTTCATCCCAGCAGTGATGGTTTAGTACGCGTTGTCAGTGTAAAAACCGCTCGAGGTGTCTTGAAGCGCTCAGTAGTGAAAGTGTGCGATTTACCTGAAACAGAAAATGTTTAACAAAATTGTATCACTTCAACAAACCTTGTATTATATGTTATTATTTTATTATTACTCAAATGTTACTTACCTGTAAAAAAAATGTGTTTTATGTTATATTCAGATTGTTATTCTGTTTTGTTTACCATAATATTGTTCTTTTGTATTGAAAGACTTTGTCCTTCAACCTGGGGGGCATGGAGAAAAATGTTATTTCAATTTGAATATGAGAATATAGTTGATGTTTTTGCAAACTTCTTTACTTAATGATGTTTTTTTGCCATTTGATAAGAACTCTGAAAACTATACACTGGGCTTTAACTATAACCATACCATTTCTTCACCTTTTTTCGATATTCAAGAAATTGAAACAGCAATCCACAAACTTAAACTAAAATTAACTTCCGGTCTGGATCAGATTCCAGCATTTTTAGTTAGGGACGGTATTTATGTATTTTCCCTACCCCTTCAATTACTTTTTAATCTATCAATAAAAACAGGTATGTTTCTGGCCAATGGAAAATTGTTAGAGTCAGTCTCCAATACATAAAAATAGTGATGTATCAATAGTTAATAACTATCGTCCTATATCTGTTTTATCAAATTTTGCCAAGAAATGTGTCTATATAACCGTATATATCCTTCGATAAAACCTCTGCTTTCACCAACTCAGCATGGATTCTTAACGGGTAAATCTACTCACAGTAATTTATTAGTTTTCACTCAAAATCTGTCAAATATTTTGGATTCTCATGGCAGGGTAGATGTAATCTATATATCAAAGCAGAGAACACTATACCATAGTATTGATATAGTATTCTCTGTATCAAAGGCTTTTGACCGTATAGACCACTGCATTCTTTTGAAAAAGCTTGAAGGTTTTGGTTTTAGCCCCTCATTAATGAATCTTTTTTCCACGTATATTAAAGATATAATCTACTTTGTTACATTTAATTGATATAAATCCCGATGCCATACCGCAACTTCGGGTGTCTCTCAAGGATCCAATTTGGATCCATTGCCTGTTATGTAAATGTGAAAGTCTAATTTTTGCCGATGACATGAAACTATATAGGAAAACTGATAATGTTTCAGATTATTTTAGTTTGCAGAATGATTTGTGTAATATTGAAATATGGTGCAGGGAAAAGAGGTCAGAACTCAATGTTTCAAAATGTAAAGTTACGTATACTAAGAATATGCATTACGAAAAATATACATATAAAATCAATAATGAGAGTTTGGAAAACATTCTCTTAATGAAGAAAAATATGACCCCATTTAATATTTCTCTTTCATTTTATCACTTAATTGTCCTATTTGATATGCATATTCGATTCAATTTAGTGTTAGATGGTTAAGTGTATTATTTTTCTGATTACAAGATCAAAATTAGGTGTAAGCAATTAACCGAACATACCTCACAAATAGAAAGCTTCGTTAAAAAATTGTGTGAAGATCTGCGTGTCTAGTTTGTGGTTTTGGAGACATATAATTTAGAATTTATTTAAATTTCAAATTTTGTTAAAAACTGATTTGAAAAAACATACATATTTAAAAATTCAAATATGTATTAAACGATCATTTTTAATTTAAATTTGATTTTGATGTATTTTAGATAGATCAAATAATAAATCACAAGAAAAGTTTTAATACGATATATGTTTTTAAGCAAGCATTTTGGATTGAGGCGTATACGATTAATTGCTTTTGTTTGGCCAGAGGGTGCAAACACTTAAAAGTTTTGCACCTGATGACCCATTCTATATATTTTGATTTTTGATAAACATTGTGTGTTTGGAATCTTTACTAAAATAAAAAAAAATTAAGAATTCTAATAGGACTCCCTTTCATAAGTTGAATTAGGTAAGTAAATATCTTGGATATACATATATTTGTTGTTTCACATTTTAAATTCCATTAAATAAAATTTGATTGATTTTTTTCTCCTTACATTAACTTCGTAGGTAAAAGGTCGCTAAGAATAAAAGTTTTCTTAAGATTTTTGAAGTTCTGTATTATTTAATAAAAAAGGCAATGGCAATATTTTAGTTTTAATTGAAAATATAAACTTTTGTCTATTCCTCACAAGTATCTATCAAACAATGAGTCTCGGCAACCTTCCTGTAGTAGGCCGCAGAAGCTTTAGGTGTTCTCGTCCTGTTAATGCTGTCGAAGTCTACATGGTAGAGCCCGAATTTTTGTCTGAAAAGCGAAAATAATTAAAATCATATTAATTCATTTTCATATTTTTTTTTATCATGAAACCATTTACCTTCACAATAAATTTAATTAAATAATTATTTTATGAAATAAAGAAATATAAGAATAAAGTCATGCATGTGTTTCAGATATTTTGCGTTTTTCACTTGTTATTTTTCGAGGAACTTACGTATATCTATGCAAAAATTACCTAGATATACTAAAAGAAGTATCCAAATGCAAGTAAATATCAAATTTACCTACTTTTGGATACCTAACGCATGCATGTACAGCAGATATTATATGTTTAATAAAAACATTACTTATTACTTTTAGATGAACTTACGTGTAACCCAGTCCCCATTCGAAGTTATCCATAAGACTCCATGCACCGTAGCCAATTACATTAACTCCATCATCTACAGCACTTCTTACATTGCTGAGATAATCCTACAATTGATCAAAGTCGATAAAATACTCTTAATCAAAAACGATTATTTGAAATTCCCCTACATTTCCAAAAACATTTTTAATTGTTTGTGATTGTTAGATTTTAGTGCTGTTCTTCATCATTCTGTACGAACATTTAGAATGATAAAATAAGCATATTGTTTTAAATACAGTAGACCTGACATTTCACTTTGTTTCTTTATTTTTCTTTAGAAAAAAAAAAGTAGAAAAACAGGCAAAATTACATTTTATTTTATGTTACTATATTGGAGTGGATCAATCTAATACGCCAATGCATGAGAATGGACACAGTTTTAGTATTACCAAATAGATATATAACATAAATGTATTACCCTGTAAAAACGAACTCTTTTAACATCATCTATGATGGAACTATTATCAGCGATACCATTTTCTGTAATTATAATTGCTGGATTGTTGTAGGTTTCCTTCAACCAATTTAAAAGTTTTCTTATACCCCATGGAGTTATCTAAATGACAAAGGAAAATATGTCACCACATCATTTTATAATAATAATAAATAATATTAACAATATATAGAACAATGAGCATATACAGGGTGGTCGCGATGTAATGGGCCAAAATTCATGACTAGATTCCTGACGTGAAAATATTGCGATTTAGACAAACTCACCTTAGTCCAAAAGTTGATACTTACGGAGATACAGGGTGTTCAATGCAAAATATTATTTTAGTTTTTTCTTATTTATTTCATAATAAATGCTCATATCGAGATGAAATTTTGGTGTTAGGGGTTTTCTGGGGCGAGAGATTGAAATATATCCATGGTTTGCTTGTAGCTCATAGAGAGCGCCACCTGCGCTAGGTCGAATGCGTTGAAAACGACAGAACTTTTTTATCTTTCAAAAATCTAATTCTCAGGTAGCAAATTCTGATTTTACAACTTCTTTTACACAAAAAAGCTATACTTTTTGATAGTCGCTATCTTGCACCGTTCTCGTAAAATTTGCCATTGAAAATTCCAATGTATTTGCATTCAATTACAAATCGGCAAAAATTTTCAAGTAGGCTTATGTTAAAATCCAATTTTGACATTTTCCACTTATCTTAGTGCTGTCAGTAATATTACAGTATTATTCGTGCCTTATTAAAAGTATTCTTTACTTTATGATCTAAATCGTAGTGCGAGATAACATGCCACGCCATAATTTATTTTCAAATGGAGAAATGCGCGATATGGTTTGCGTTTATGCGCAATCAGATTATGTTGGACGTCGAGCGCTTCGTCGGTATTCAGAGTTGTATCCGAATAGAAGGCAACCAAATCGGAAACTATTTCAAGAACTTTTTAATAGACTTGGAGAAACTGGTAGTTTTCGTCCTAAAAGAGACAACGCAGGGCGTACTGTTACAGTTCACCAAGAAGAAGAAATTTTAGTAAGAGTGGCAGGAAATCCAGAAGTTAGCAGCAGGCAGGTAGCTAGAGAAACCGGTGTTAGTAAAACAACAGTTCTCAAAATCTTTCACAAGGAAAATTTATATCCCTACCATTTTACACCCGTGCAAAATCTTTTAGCAGCAGACTTACCAGCTAGATTACAATTTGCTCATTTTATGCGCAATCAGCAAAACCTTGACCAGGAATTTTTGGATAATGTACTATTCACTGATGAAGCGACCTTTACTCGTCGAGGAATTTTCAATTTTAGAAACAAGCACATATGGGATAATGAAAATCCTCACGTAGTCAGTGAGCGTCACTTCCAACATGAATTTAAGATAAATGTTTGGTGCGGAATCATAGGAAATCACCTTTTGGGTCCACATGAGCTTCCTCCAAATCTAAATGGTGACTTGTATTTAGATTTCCTGCAGCACCATTTAGTTGACTACCTCGACGATTTACCACTGAATACACGGCAAAATCTATTTTTCATGCAAGATGGAGCTCCCCCTCATTATTCTGTCAGAGTACGGAACTATCTTGACCACATTTTTCCGGATCGTTGGATCGGTCGTGGGAGTCGAATATTATGGCCTCCTCGTAGTCCTGACTTTAATCCTATGGATTTTTGTTTCTGGGGCTACATGAAATCAGTTGTCTATAGAGAAACTATAAACACCCGCGAAGAGCTATGGCAGAAAATTGTAAATGCCGCCGAATCATTTCGTAACAAGAATCTCTATTTTAAAATACGGCAGTCTTTGAACAAACGCGTTAATAAATGTATTGAAGTTGGAGGCGGACATGTTGAACATTTATTGTAATATTCGATATTCAATTGTTCATCACAATTTATAATTTGAAATAAACTCTTGTTCTTTTTGACATTCGTACCTTATTTTGATTACTCGAATTACCAAAGCTAAATATCTTGAGAACGGTGCAAGATAGCGACTATCAAAAAGTATAGCTTTTTTGTGTAAAAGAAGTTGTAAAATCAGAATTTGCTACCTGAGAATTAGATTTTTGAAAGATAAAAAAGTTCTGTCGTTTTCAACGCATTCGACCTAGCGCAGGTGGCGCTCTCTATGAGCTACAAGCAAACCATGGATATATTTCAATCTCTCGCCCCAGAAAACCCCTAACACCAAAATTTCATCTCGATATGAGCATTTATTATGAAATAAATAAGAAAAAACTAAAATAATATTTTGCATTAAACACCCTGTATCTCTGTAAGTATCAACTTTTGGACTAAGGTGAGTTTGTCTAAATCGCAATATTTTCACGTCAGGAATCTAGTCATGAATTTTAGCCCATTACATCGCGACCACCCTGTATATAAATTGTCTATTGGCTTATATTAGTAAGAGACTAGCTCTGAAATTTTTATATGTACCAGTTTTTTTAATGTTGTCATTATAAACGGGTACCTATTTAATTTTTTCTTGAGTATTTATAGCAAGAAAAAAATACCTTGTTACTAGATATGGAGGTTGACTCCCAATCATCGGGCTGGTAGCCATGAACTCCCACGTCGTAGTTGTAATTTGGTTCCCCAATTGGAACTTCGTCCTTGGCTGTTACTAGCATCGAAGTGTACATATTCAGGCCCATGTAATCGAAAGTGCCGCTGATGTATGCAATTTCTTCGTCGGTGAATGCTGGAAGACGTGATTGTTTGAAACCTTCAGCGAAACTACGTTCTGCAATGCGAGTCTTCATTATTTCTGGGTAGTCGCTGTTATAGATGGGATTTGCATACCATCCATACTAAAAAAATATTCGGTAAAACTTATCAATTTCCCTTTATCCATAAATAGGTATTATTTATATTGCGATCTCGTAGTAGTTTAAAATGAAACATACAAATGTGTAACCATCTAATTGTACTTACGGTGAATTGTAGTGCTGTCTCAGCAGCAACTATATCTTCTTCACTGTCGGAAGCAGGTTCGAACCAGAGAGTATCTATAGTGATTGATATTTGTCCTAGAAACAATGATTTTGTTTTGTAATAACAGCATATCTTGACATTGTATTGATTGTATCCTCAAATGCGATAGATTGTATTATCTCCATCCCAACAAATGTTTCAGTCACAAAATGTTGGAAGATTTCTGTATTTTAAAATCTTCATAATTTCATTTAATCTCTAATGAAATGAATACAGTACCTTGTTGTGTAGACCGAAATTCTTGGTCATATATATGCCAAGCCCTAGAGTGAGCCTGGATCACGTGGTGGGCACACAAATAGTCTGCTAATCCTGGCATTTTAATTCCTGGAGCATCATATCCCATGCCATAACCTCCTTGGCAAATTTGCTTAGGTTCATTAAATGTCAGCCAGTATTTCACGTCGTCTCCAAAGAGTTCGAAGCATAGCCTCGCGTATTCCGCGAAAGCTTCCACTACGAATTCACTTGTCCATCCTCCTAAGTCCTGCAAGGGTTGTGGCAAGTCCCAGTGGTACATGGTGATTAGGGGTTCGATGCCGTTATCTTTCAGTTCTTTGATTAGGTTTTTGTAGTATGTCACCCCGGGAAGGTTAACTTTGTTTACGTATCCTAGAAATCACAATATGGATTTTTAGTGTATTTTAATATAAACAGTCATTAATGAAATAACATTTAATGTATGAATGCTAATATACTGTTAATAAACAGTTGAATTCTTATAAATAATGTCAGAATATAAATACTAGTGAATAGTAAAGCGGATTAAGAAGAGGAAGAATTAAAGAAGAAATTAAAATAATATGCTATTACCAAAATGCGAATTTAGATGATAACTATTTGTCCAGTATTATCTCCATAGCATACTTTTACAACCATATCTCCTTGACTATTAGAGATAAATTCGTCAGTTTCTAAATCGTTGCAAATGATGGATGTTTTTCGGTATTTTATAAATATAAAATGATGAATTGAAAGAAATGTAATTACTAAAGTACAAAAATACCTGTAGGAAGTATCCTTGACCAAGATAGTGAGAATCGATAAAAATCAACGCCTAATTCTTTCAACATAGCCACGTCTTCTTTGTACTTGTGATAAGAGTCACAAGCCACATCACCATTGTCATTATTAGCAATTAATTCAGGATAAGAGTGCGTATAGCGATCCCATATATTTTCACCTTTGCCATCTTCATCCCATGCACCTAGAATAACGGATTTAATTTCATAACTAGAGAAATACTTGAAAATATTGTTGGGATGGTCGTTCTCCATTTTCATATCAAAATAGACAATCATAATTTTTTAAATTTGATTTACTTTCGTTTTAGGAAGTCATACAAAAATTTTAAAATGACAAACTATGTAATCAACATTTATGCTCATTGCCAATACACTTTTAACAAACCTTACTTTACCAATTCGATAAAAACGGTCACCTTACCTGATTTTATCGATTATACACTATAGCTCAAATCATGTAACGCACACGCTCCACTGATGGTACGAACAATTATATTATTTGGGCTCAACTAACGCTACTATTTGGCGCGGTCCTGGTGACACACTTCTTTTGCTACAATACTATGAATAAAGCCTGAGTTTCCGTCGTATCAGTGTAAGCAAGAACCGGTCATAGGAGAGTCACATTTCTGATTATTCTATGTATTTGTGCAAAGAACGATCACTGAGGTGGATAAAAAATTAATTGAAGAAACTGTACATAACAAATATCTGACCGATCAAACAAAAGTACAAATATGTTGCGACAATATCATATACTTTGTATTACCTAATTAATCGTACACATCCTCTCTAATTCATCTCTAACAATTTCAGTTCTTATCTTAGGCAAATAGATAACTATTCTGGTGATAACTACTCGTAATGTAGATTTTTTTTGTCAAATGATATGAAATTTTATTGAAAATGTAGTGAAATGTATGTTTTGTCGTCAGTAAATTCTTCATATAGAGTAAAAAATTCTCACACAGTTCGTTTTAAATATCGAGTACCTTCTTTTCTTATTTTGCATTTCTTCCTCACACAGACATATTGCAATCGCAGTTAAATTGAGTTTAGAGAAATGTTTAAACGCCTTCAATGTTTACTTCTGGATACGATTCGCAATAGAATGCACTAAAAGTTTGTGTCACTTGAGTATCCAGTGTAAATACTGTTCAAAATTCTTTAACGAGTGTGAACTGTGAGCATACTGTGTCCTGAGAGCCTAATTTGTATTAACATTTGTTATAGCTCCATTAAATAAAAAAGCTTGGCAGTTGAATAAAATTGTTTCAGATATGTTTCTATAACATAAATCAAATTTCATAAACAATCTAACCCAATCATAACTAATCTTAGTAAATTGTTATTTATGTCACAATGAATAAACTTACCTTCTATTTGATAAGAGGCTGTGGCTGTACCAAACATAAAATCTTCGGGAAAAAGTTTATTATTAGTTTCATCTTGTGCTATGCTAAAAGAAATATGTAAACATTATATTTTAATCAATCATTGACACCACTAACTTGAGCTTTTACATATGGGACTATAGTTCCCAGAGTAGTTGTTTTCCATAATTCAAAAATGCACACGTTAAAAACATTCATATGTTCTTAACGTATGCATTTTTGAAATATGTACCTACATAATATTCACTACAGTATTCATTCAACTTTCGAAACATGAGTTACAATTTTTGAATTTCTATTATTATTTCACATTTTGTAACAGTTCTCTATATTTTCTTTCACTATAGTATAGTATATAGTAAGGGCCTATTCTGTAATAAAATAGTTAAATTTTGACGGAAGTTATAATTTTAAGGGAAATTAAATATAAAGAATAAAATCGTATTCTATATCTATTTATTTATTTATTTATTTAAACTATTTGTCCAACAGTGAAAATCACCAATTACAGGACAAAGTATACAAATATATAATATTTACAAACATGTGAGCATACAGAACAAAATGTAAAGAATAAATATAACAAACATACCGGTAAAATAGTGTAACAAAAAAAGAAAAAGAAAAATAAGTAGAAAAAAAATAAAAAGCTGAAACTACTCCCTATGCTACCAATCATGAATTGTTGACATTTCTAAAGGCTATGTAAAGATGTTGCAAATTACAGTTGGGGTGGTCCCGAGGTAATGGGCCAAAATTCATGGGTAGATTCCCCAAGCAAAAATATTGCGATTTAGCGGAACTTACCTTAGTCCAAAAGTTGATAGTTAAAGAGATACAGGGTGTTAAATGTAAAATATTATTTTAATTTATTTCCATTTATTTCTTAATAAATGCAAATATCTACACAAAATTTTGGGGTTTGGGGTTCTTTGGGTAGAGGAATTGAAATTTGTTCACATTTTGGTTAAAGTTCATAGAGGGCGCTAGCTGTAGTAGATTGAATGTGTTAAAAACTACATAACTTTTTTGTACTTTAAGTTATCTCATGTTTGGTATCAAATTCTTATTTTCCAACTTTTTTTACACAAAGAAAGTATCCTTTATGAAAGTAGCTATCTCGCATCGTTTTCGAGATATTTGACTTTGAAACTTCCATTGCCATTCCATAAAATTATAATTAAGTACTTACAGGTATTATTAATTTAGCGGTAAAGTTTCTTAAGTAGGATTTGGACGAAAATAAATAATTGACGTTTTCCACTTATCTTATTGTTGTCATTTGTATGCTAATTTCTATTAAGTATTATTTGTACCTATTTAAAATTACATATTAGCTTACAATTTAAATTGTATACCTACTCGTATACATAAATGTGAGATAGAATGTCGAGATTTTCGTTTTTGGAGTTACCCACATGAAATCAGTTGTTTATGGAGAAACTATAAATACCTGAGAAGAACTTTACAGCAGGTTTTAAATGCTGCAAAGTCACTTCGCGTTAAGGATTTATACTTTAAAATAAAACATTTTTTAATAAACGCGTTTATAAATGTATTGAAGTTAGAGGTGGACGATTATTGTCAAAAAGGAATATTCTACGAATGTTTACTATTTTACTGTTCATTACAATTTTTAATTCTAAATAAACCCTTGTTTTTGACATTTCTAAATTATTTTAATTATTTCAACTATTTGCATTGGAAGTTTCAGAGCCAAATATCTCGGAAACGGTGCAAGACAGCTACTTTCATAAAGTATACCTTTTTTGTGTAAAAAGAGTTGAAAAATAAGAATTTGGTACCAAATATGAGATACCTTAAAGTACAAAAAAGTTATGTTGTTTTCAACACATTTAATTTACGGCAGCTGGCGCCCTCTATGAACTATAACCAAAATGTGAACAAATTTCAATTCCTCTATCCAAAGAACCCCAAACCCCAAAATTTTGTGTAGATATTTGTATTTATTAAGAAANCGAAATGCGAGGTATTTCAAAAACTTTTTTGCACCGAATCAATTAAACTGGCTTGGTTAATATAAAAAACAATCCAAGCCGGAGAGGAGTATTCCAATTTGGAACGGGTAAACGCGTAAAATAATGAAAACTAAACGACATTATCTCTGAATTCACGACCTTGTCTAATCACAAAGCCCAGCGTACTAAGTGTTGAAGACGCCAGATACAGAATATGATTTGAAAACGTAAAGTTACTATCAAAATATATTACCAAATCTTTTATGGTATCCGTGCGCTCTAAGACGTCCGAGTTAATTTTGTAATTGAATATAATGGGCTTAAGTTTACGTGAAAAAGAAACGCCTTTATACTTGGAAATATTTAAATGCAAATTATTTGAATCGCACCAAGGGACTATTTTGTCTAACTGACTCTGAAGGTGAAGACAGTCATCATCAGTGTTAAGATAGAGAAGATTTTTAAGTCGTCGGCATAAACAAGTTTGCGACAGTCAATGTAAGTCCTAATATCATTAAAAAAGATGGAAAATAGGAGGGGCCCTAGATTGGAACCCTGAGGTACTCAGGGTTCCGAAGTAATAGAATACCAACTAGACTTAAAACCGTTGTAAGTGACATATTGTAGACGATTTGACAAATATGAGCAAAACAGTTGTAAAGAGTTGCCACAAAGTCCGTACTCCAGAAGTAATAGAATACTGACTAGACTTAAAATCGTTGTAAGTGACATACTGTAGACGATTTGACAAATATGAGATAAACAGTTGTAAAAAGTTGCCACAAAGTCCGTATACTTCGAGTTTATGGAGGAGTATGCCGTGATCAATGTATCTATATGACTTTTACACGCTACAATTTTACTATTTCCGTTAATTTTGGGCCGTTAAAAAGTTAATATTAATGGTTTAGGAATAGACTAGGGTCTAGTACCCTAAAAATATTTTTGTTAACTATAGTCAAATAAAAATTAGAAATATGGTATTTGATGGTTTGATTCATCTTATTTATAGTTGGTGAATTTGACGAGAACCGCAGACAAATGTAAGTAAATGGTCTTGTTTTTTTTAAGAACTTCAAGACAAAATGAGGTTATAATTGTTTTCAGGAGGGAACAGAGATTAAATCAAAGACAACTTCAGGATAATAGTGACCCGTTTCAATTGCCAGATAAAATATTTCTGAAGTTGTTCCGACTTAATAAATAGTATTGCCGGTACCTTATCAATAGCTTTTAAATCAACCTATTAGAACACCCAGAATCCCTCCACACCTTCGAATTTTGATTGCTTTGAACTTTTTTGGCCAAGGCAGTTATCAACTCTCTGTTGGACATGGTTACAATTTTTCAGTGAGCCAACCGGTGGTAAGCAGATGTGTATCAGAAATATCCGATGCTATAACATTTTTATTACCCGTTTGGGTAAAATTTCCTGCCAACATTAATGAAAGGGAGGCAATCAAGAGGTTTTGGTGAATTGGACAATCGTTTTTCAGCTGCTGTGGGAGTTATTGATGGAACATATGTCAGAATTATTGCTCCACCTGCAAACCATCCTATTCATCCTGGCAATATTGTCGCAAAAATTATTATGCTATTAATACCCAGATCATCTGTGACAGTAAACAACAAATTTTAAATATTAATGCTCGCTTCCCAGGATCGGTGCATGACTCATCTCTGTGGATGATGTCTGGAATTAAAAGAGTAATGCATCAATATTTGATTTAATCTGGAGCACTGGATTATTTGATTGGAGACAGTGGATATCCACTGGAACCCTGGTTATTAGTTCCTTTTCCAGAACCAATGGAAAATACCCCAGAATCAAGATTCGGTAAAGTGCTGTCTACAATTCGGATAATAATTGAGCACGTGAATGGTGTGCTGAAGAGTAGATTCCAGTGTCTGCATGGACATAGAGCACTTAATTATGACCCAATACGAGCTGCAAAAATAATATGCAGTTGTGCTGTACTGCATAATATGTCTGGTGCATTTCCGTGTTGCCATTCCTGAAGATATAAACGTTCTGCCACCCCCTCCTTCTAGGTTACAAAGAATACAACAACCAGTTGCTCAAAATGATCATTACAATAAGGCGGTTAGACGACAAAATAATTTTGCCAATAGATATTTAAGTGATTAAAAATTAAATGTTATGACCACGACGCTGCCTTTTTTTAAACTCACTATTATTTTATACTATTTTCATATATGCTTTGATTGAAATACATAATTCCGTGGTGTTGGGGAAAAAAGATATCAGTTCAATTTTGGCCATTTTGAGGTATGTACATTCAGATTTCAGTTTTAAATATTCAAATATTTCTTCCGGGCCAAACGGGATATCTCATTCGAAGTTAAAAATATACTAGACCAATGTTCATTACGAGGTATGTCTGTACAGCTCCTCGAAAATGTACTTGTAGACGTAAGTCAACTTGTCCCCTTTTGAACAAAAATATAATGTATCAAATTGTTGGTCAAAACAAGATAACATGACATATCCTATTTTGTCCGAAAGTTTTTCGGATGTTTACACAGATATATCTCGTTTTGTTCTTATTCAGTTTGCATTAAACTATGTAACAAGCAACTTCAAGTGAAGTTTTTCTCTGGGAAAATTCTAGTAGAATAAATGGACGCCACAGGAAAGAACCGTATGTTTCGATCTACAACAGTGTCTCCCTACTTCCACAACTTTCTTCTGGAATGACCTTTTACTTAAGACAGTTGTGGACATTCAACCTAATACCGGGACGCGTAGTAATTTATTTATTAGTTCTCGGAACGGATGGGCCAAAAGGTAAAATATTTCAGTCAACACTAATTATCAAAAGTTGAGAGCTCTCAAGTGGGTTTAGCATCGTCCTTCGGAGAAATTTAGTAATATTTTTTTTGAACAAGTTCACTTAGAGTCGGGGCCATGTGACAGTCATCTGTCGCGTCCGGGAGGCGCCAACCTATGTTGGGGCAGGACAAAAAAAAACCATGTCGGTAATAATGCGCGAAAACACGAGGAAGACGTAAACGTTCCGAATTAGAATTAAATCAAATTGTTAAATTGGAAAAGAAAATAATAGATGAAATAGCTGGTTTTTTGGCGGATTTTCCAAGCTATAAGGATATATTAAATAAGATCGACTAATCCGTCCCGTATCGCTACACGGAGTCACTAGAGGAAGGCTATGGTTACTNAAAAGATATCAGTTCAATTTTGGCCATTTTGAGGTATGTACATTCAGATTTCAGTTTTAAATATTCAAATATTTCTTCCGGGCCAAACGGGATATCTCATTCGAAGTTAAAAATATACTAGACCAATGTTCATTACGAGGTATGTCTGTACAGCTCCTCGAAAATGTACTTGTAGACGTAAGTCAACTTGTCCCCTTTTGAACAAAAATATAATGTATCAAATTGTTGGTCAAAACAAGATAACTTGTTTATTGGTGTTACTGTAACAAGTCAGATTAAAAGCACTAAAAATACTTAAAATTAATTTAAATATATAACAGGGTATGACAGGCACAGACATCTGCACATCACAAAATATAACAGACATCACACAAAAACAAACTCTAGATCACACAGAATCATGCTCAGCTAATAAAGTGTAAATCGTTACAAGACAAGAATTCCCTATAGTGATAAAATGCCTGCCCCAGGAGAAACCTCTTCACCGTATTCTTAAAGGATGTCTTACATTTAATATATTTAATGTGTGATGGTAACCGATTAAACATCAAAATCGCCAGATAATTTGGGGTGTTTTGTGTTTTATTTAGCCTATAGTATGGAGTTATTATATTATCTTTGTTTCTTGTATCGTAATTGTGTTGGTTTGCATAGGTGGGACAGCTGTCTAGGTTTGATTTAACGTATGTCAGGCATTCCAAAATGTACAATGAGGGTAAAGTTAATATTTGATATGTGATGAATGCATTTATACAATCATCCATATAACCCAGTCCAGCTATGATTCTAATTAATTTTCTTTGAATTGCAAATACTTTATCAAAATCTGCGGCATGACCCCAGACTATTATTGCATAACTCATAATTGAATGGCACAAGGAGAAGTAGGCAGATCTTAATACACTAGTGGACACAGAATCTGAGAGATTACAAACAACAAATACACCACTACTCAGTTTTTTACAAATCCCATCTATGTGGATATTCCACCTCAGATGGGGATCCAAAAGAACACCCAAGAATTTTACAGCGGGTACTTCATCACCAGAAACATCATAATCACGCAGCGTAAGCATCATTCGTTGTGTTTTATTTCTATTACATATAAGATTATTGCAAGCAAACCACTTTTCTGCTCCTGATTGAGCTTCATTTTTTCTAGTCTCTACATCAATTATATCTTTAGATCTGATAGAAATGGTGGTATCATCGGCATACAAGACATATGTCAGGAAAGTCTTTGATAAAGGCATATCATTATTATAAATTAAAAATAACAAGGGTCCCAATACCGAACCTTGCGGTATACCTATTGTCACATCCCTCCTGTCAGATATTTCATTATTAATTTTTACCACTTGACTTCTATTAGCTAAAAATGATTTTATTATTTTTAAATCACATCCACTAAGTCTATATTTTCCCAACTTCTCAACTAAGATGTTATGTGACACAGAGTCAAAAGCCCTACTTAAGTCCAAGAATATAGTATCACAGAATTCAAGATTTTCATATGCGTCTAGAACGTTATTTACAAAGGCCAGTATTGTACTTGTAGTATCATGATTCTTTCTAAAACCATGTTGACATTCTGTGAGGAGTTTATTTGACTCAAAATACGCAGTCAGTCTATTGCACAAACATTTTTATAATATTTTTGAGAGAACTGGAAGCACCGATATCGGTCGATAATTTGCCGGGTCATCAAGGTTACCTTTTTTGAATATTGGTGAAACTACTGCTACCTTCAGTATATTAGGAAATATTCCTTGGAAGAGACATTCATTTATTAGTTTAGTTAATGGATACACTATAAGATTCTTTATAATTTTTATGATTTTCACACTTAAGCCATATTTATCTTTAGTAGCTTTACTTTTAAGGTTTGTAATGATGTCTCTTACTTCAATGTACGTTACCTCAGAAAATTTAAAAGTATTATAGGGTAATTTGTTATAATCAAAATTAAAGTATGGATTTAGAGCATCTTTCTGAGAACATAGTTTACGGGCTTACAAATCCTTTGCGGCCGCTGTCGTAAAATATTCATTAAATATATCCGTTACGGTTGGACTTATTTTTGGTAACATTACTTTTTTTCTTTGCTTGTTTATAATATCCCACATACACTTATTAGGGTTATTAGCATTTCTTAACAGTTTCTCATTTGCCTTACACTTTTTTTTTATTTCAGATTTGTACTGCATGCGATAGATATTTCTCCTCAATTTATTTTCTGAACATGGGTTTTTTTTGTATATCATAATAAAGAAGTTAAGTTGTTCACGCATAACTCTCAGATAATTATTAAACCACGGAGGTCCGGCTGTATTGAGTTTACTACTATATTTTTTTCAGGAAAAGCTGAATTATTACATTCTACTATTTTATCTAAAAAAATTTGAAATTTGACATTAATATCTAGATAAACATTTTTAAAGAATGTCCAGTCAATATTTTCAACTAAGTAGTAAAATTTAATATTACCCCCCTTAGTAATAGGTCTACATATTTTTGTTGCAGGTTTCTCCATAATGTTTGATTCACAAAGAACTAAGTTAATAATAATACCTTTATGATCCGACTAATTACAGTCCACTACAGAAAATTTACTTTCAGTTGTGAAATTAATGAATACATTATCGATGCACCTATCCTTCCTTGTGTTTTCATAAACTTTTTTGTGCGGAACAGATCGCACAAACGGGCAGAGTATCCCGATTCACAGTCTGAGTAAATATCAAAAGGTACNAATTACAGTCCACTACAGAAAATTTACTTTCAGTTGTGAAATTAATGAATACATTATCGATGCACCTATCCTTCCTTGTGTTTTCATAAACTTTTTTGTGCGGAACAGATCGCACAAACGGGCAGAGTATCCCGATTCACAGTCTGAGTAAATATCAAAAGGTAATAGCCAGGGTTCCCGCCAGTAAGATAAGAATAGATTCGTCTGGACCCAAGAAATGGGCGTGTCGAAGCGAAGTGTCGAATTCAGGAGAGATCTACGAAAAAAAGTCAGTTCTTCCTTGGGTTTCACATTGAGCAGTCTACTTAGTTTTAGAGTCTCGGGTTAATTTAATAATGGATAAAGTAATTCCAAATTTTGCTATGGATCGCGCATTCCCTGAATCTCGGTACGCTGTCGCGTGCAAATAAATTAATTAATAATGTTGTTCGAGCCGTTGTGTCGTTATTTCGTTTGTTTGTTTTGTTTATTGTTATTAAAACCCTTCCTGGAAGTTTTGGTGTTTCCTTTTGTTTCTCTCAACTTTAGTGTCACCCTGTACAGCCAGTCACTGGATTACATTCTACGTAAGCAATGGATGGTAAGTGCTTGAAATTCATTCTCTGAACATACATTTCTAAGTTCCCACGTATTAATTAAAATGTAATTTAACATTGTACCATTTTTTTAATCATATGCAGATAGTAAATTACTAATAGGTACTTACTTCCTTCCACTTAGTAACGGTTTTTTTTTGGCACCTTTTAGCTTGTTTAGTTCACCTGCTAACTCTTTCCTTGTTGAGTTCCATTTTTCTAACTGGAATGGGTCAATTTTTGTTTCTATTAAATATTTGTGCCCTTCTAAAAATGACACAAAAAATTCTTTCTGAATTTTGGACATTCGACCAGCACGTGGTTTTCTTTGCTCTGACATTATATTATCACCGATTCATTAATAAAATGCTAACAATACAATATAGAACCAGAAATGATTATACTATTCTATACTAAAATCGGGAAAAGTTAGGTTACAGTATTACAATACGAATACGCGACAGAAATTGGCTGCTTCTTATTCTTTATTATCAAATTGCTACGACAAATAGTACTTTTGAACTAAAAGTGCCGAAAACTTGCGATAATTTTAACGCACCCGTTAATTTAGCCAGATCGTTAAATAGTATGATATAGAATAGAAACAAACATTAAAATGGCAGTTTTTAAACGTCCACTAAAATTTAACTTTGTGCTTACAGAATAGACCCACCCTATAGTATACTAAATATAAATTTAACTTTTTAACATTCTTTAGATTCAAATTGTATTTTTTATGAAGTATACAATATCAATATTCAAAATACAATTTATATAATAAAGTAACAAATGTTGTAATAGACATTTCTTAACAAAAAATTGAAAAATTTCTTACACGTGCCTATGTAAGTCAAGTGTTTGGGAACTTACCTAATAGCAAGCAAACAACAAAATATAAAACCTTTTAGAGACATGACTGATACAATTCTTTTAACATGTGCCTTATATATGTGTTCATAACTAATATTTTACAAGTACTCCTTAGTTTGAAGTAGCTTTGGTAAGCACATAAAGTGATAAACTTGGAAATATTTGGAAAGAAAAAAGTATTGAGTATTAATTACGTAGTATTAAATGACAACGCATAATTAGTTTATTTGTGATATGTTTGAAGTACTGAAATTGCTCTTATCAAAACACTAGAGCTTAGTAACTAAGCGGGTGAATACTCCAGTCAAATTAGAGTTTGAACGTGAAAAAGTTATTAGTAGATATTTTATTGCATTTTATGACGGGGAAGGTTATGTAGAATGATAATATCAAAAAAGTAACGCGAAAGAAGTGACGCTAAGTTGGTAAATTGCAAATAAGTCGCAACTTATTTTACTGCCCACGAAAATATAGACGACCTATCGGAAAATTAGTTATTTTATGTTGTAGGCAATTAAATTACCTCCAATTAAGTATCTTAAGCATATATCACAAATTTGTTAACTATAAAATAAAGGTTGAATGCGGAAAAATCAGTTTTCGAAAATTAAGCTTTATTATTGCAAAGTGCAATAGATATTGATGAAATTTATGGAAAAGACGGTCAATCCAAAAACCAATACATGTTCCAAAAGCCGATTCGATTAACCGTGAAATTGTTGCTCCAGGTATTTGTTAATTAATTTCGTTCGTTTTTTTCCATCTAATTGTTTAATTACTAAACGTTTATTTTAGAAGTTACATAATATCATAGGCTCAAATTGTTCCAAAGAAACGTATCGAAAAAGAAAAGTTTCAAGTATATAGGCTATGTTAGTACGGTAACAAAAGAAAATACATTGGGTATTTTCTTATGGAGGTTTATTTTGCAAATTTTTGGGAGATTTTACCCCCTCTATTCCCACATTTGACCCCGCCCCCCGTTTAGATAGACCAATCAGATTGCAGCATTCCGAACCAATTAGATTATGGCGCGAAATTCAAATCAGGGCTCTGACTGCCTCCTGTCCAAGCTCCGGGAATTCAGTCGCCTTCTCCCCGGGAAACTTAGTCAGTGGATGACGTCATTACTCGCAAAAAATTAATCATTAAAAAAAAACTATGCCAAGTCCATCGGATTGCGAGTCAAACATACAATCCACTAGCACTAGACCACAACGCTAATATACTAGAGATGCGATATATTTGGTAGGTATGCGAGAGACGCGAATTCGGCGGCGGAGTGCCGACGTGCGAGGGGGCATCGGGCGGCCGGTGTCGATCGACGCTGCAAGTAGCGGGCGGCAGGGGGCTGAATAATAAACCAAAGTTTCTCTCAATAAAAATATTCTAAAAATAATTAATTATTTTATTTATCTCTGCTATTAAATACTTGACACGTGCTTATTATATTTTTTTAACTATCAAATCCATTTGCAAAAAATATACTTCCTGTAAATCTTTGGATATTTTATTTATCGTTGTTATAATATTTTGTTCTCTATTAGTCTGTGGGTACACATACTGCAAGTGACCCATTTTTAAGTACATCGTGCCATCCTGATGTCCGGACGCACCAGGGTTCCCGGAAGACGACCCCGACAGATTGGCGCCAAGGACCAGGTACTTCTGCGAGCGACTCCACGCCAAGACGACTCTCCAGCAAACACTCGAACTGACAACACGTAATTTTTTCACAAGCTTAGTTTTCAATAAAAATACTTTATTTGTACCGTTGAGAGAACGTTTTATTTTTGCTGTACAGCGAAAGCAACCCTCAAGTGGTGACCCCGACGTGATCTTTCAACCGTCAGTCAGTAAAAGTACGCAATTTTTTGTGCAATTAGAGTGGTTTTTATTTCGGGCAACGCAGGAAGTAACACGAGCCTCAAACAAGGAAACTACGTCGAAAATCATACCTGTTCAGAAGACGACAGACTGAATCGCATCGAGTAAAGTTGGTGGAGATGTCGCAGGCAATGGCGAAGCTATTTACGAAAAGTGAACCGCGGCGACCGACGGCGACGACGAGAACACCCAGATCGCGTTCGCAAGACCGATCGCGAAGCCGTGACAGTGACAGTGGTCAGTGCTGGTGTCACCAACGTTTTGGTGACCGCGCCCGCGCGTGTCGCGATCCGTGCACGTATCGTCCGGGAAACGAGACGGGCAGTCGATGATGGCGAACCGAAAACAACCCTCAAGTCCTTGTATTTTTTACTCTATTTTATGGGTATTAAGCTAACTCAGACAAGTTCAAAAACTGTTTATAAATAAATCTTATCAAATAAAAATAGAGTGAAAAAGTATTATGAGAGCTTTTTTTGTAGCCAATCAAATCATGTTATTTTAAAACGTTACCATGGCAACGAAAAAAAATGTTCTCTAATTTTTCTCTTCGTGAGTATCCTAGACAAAATTACATTACACATTTCTCGCCTCTATTTTGTAGCCATTACAATATAGGATTCTTCGTTTGGGATAATTTTTAAAATATTTGTGACCTCAAAAACATTTCCGGGGATAATTTAACCACATATTATTTATTATTGAAAATTTTATAATTATTATATTATAATAGAAACACACTTTCCGCGGTCAAGTTGATACCTACTTTGAATATTTATAAATTTTTTGTCACATTAATAAAATTTTACTTGGTCTTCATGCGTTGAAAGGTTGCTAAGCACATTTAAAGGTATATCTTTTGTAATGCAGGAAATTTATGTATTACATTGTACTTTTCATAATCTTTATAAAATTGTACAATTGATGGATTTTTTAAATTAAAAAAATATAGTGATTTTTTAGTTTCATTTGAAACTAACTATAAAGCAAGTTTTATTTAAACTTTACTTATCCCTCACAAGTGTCTACTAAACAATGGGTCTCAACAATTTTTTTGTAGTAAGCCACAGATGTTTTAGGCGTCCTAGTCCTATTAATGTCGTCAAAATCTACATGGAAGAGCCCGAATTTTTGCCTGAAAAAAGGAATGAGTTATATTAGGTAAAATATTATTTTTACATTGTTGAGTTTGGAAGTTAAAATAATATAAATGATTGGATTTAAATTTTATATAGTTATTTTATAAAATAAATGGTGTCTTATTTTGTAAATTTAATATATTGAGAAATGTAATATTTGGAAGAAACAGTGCATTATAAAAATATAGTTTTGGGTGCACTGATAGAAATATTCGAAAATTGTAAATTTAAACATTTTTAACTTACACATTATAACAAGTATAATATTCACATAATATAGACACTATGTGGTTTTGAAGTAATTGTACTTGTTATGTTTCAAGCAACTTACGTGTAACCCAGTCTCCATTCGAAGTTATCCATAAGACTCCATGCAGTGTAGCCAATTACATTCACTCCATCTTCCATAGCACTTCTTACATTGCTGAGATAATCCTACAATTGATTAATGTCGATAAAATAAATTCAAAGCGATCATTTGAAATGTTAAAATTATACCGCTCCTTTCCAAACAAGCATGAAATATTTTGTTTAGTACATTTTAGAGAATCCGATGCCAATGTTACATTTTTGAAGTTAGTTTGGAAAGGATAAATCTAACTTCGTGAAATGTGAGAAAATCAGGCAAAATGCCGATTTTTAACGATTTATTATTGTTAAGTAAATATATTACCCTGTAATAACGGACCCTCTGATCATCTTCTAAGGTGGAACCGTCATCTGTGACACCATTCTCTGTAATTATAATTGCTGGATTGTTGTATGTCTGCTTCAACCAGTTTAAAAGTTTTCCCATTCCCCATGGAGTAATCTAGATTTATAGAGAAAAATATCGCATTAGAGCTAATTGTAAATTAGATGAACAAGAATATTAATAAAAGTAATAGTAAATAATACCATCTACTCCTATGTCATGTAAAAAAGTAATTGGTTTACTGTTTAATTTTTGTAATCCATTATTAAAGAGAAAAGTACCTTCAACCAAGAAGCGGCACATGACTCCCAATCATCTGGTTGGTAGCTTTTAACACCCATATCGGAATCGTAATTTGGTTCTCCGATTGGTACTTCCTCCATAGCTTCTGTTAGGTACGAAGTATAAATATTGACACCCATGTAATCGAAAGTGCCGCTAATGTAGGAGATTTCTTCGTCGGTGAATGTTGGAAGACGGGACTGATTGAAGCCTTCAGCTAAACTACGTTCTGCAATGCGTGTCTTCATTATTTCTGGGTAGTCGCTGTTGTAAATAGGATTTGCGTACCATCCATACTAAAAAGATATTTGATCGATTAATATATACTGCAGATATTTAAAACGTTTAATTTGATAAAAGTGAATTAGTCACTGAGCGACCATTCAGATTGTTTAAAGGATTTTTTATCTTCCCAGAACAAGCTGACTCTGTGTGGACATTTGGACCAGCTTTATTTGAAAATGAAGTCCAATTTCCTCTATAGATTAATTTTTTTTAAATCCATTCTAAACATACATTTCTTATAGGAAAATAGACAACCAACTGAACTTCAACTGTTGCAGTTACAATTACTGCTTTTTCCCTTCTTGGTATAAGCACATATTCCAGTTTAAAATAGCGAATTCTTAAAGTTTTTCCAAAGGGTCGGAAGAACTGGCTTAAATGAATAAGTTACTTCAGAACTGAGGGACAATCTATTAATAATTGGTCCTTCTAAGGACTAGATGCTTTAAAATTACGTGGCTTATATTTTAAATTGGTGACTTGATTTGTGGCTCGCCATATAAAATTTTTTTATAAATCTTATATAACACTGGGTAAGTTATAAAGAAATGGCCCATTTTCGGAAAATTAACTAAATTTTGAAAACGACTGAAGATACGTATTTTTAACATTGTTTTCAAAAAACTCTTTCGAATTTCTATATATGGAAAAACTGGCTAAAAATTTGCCTCAATAAAAAATAATAATTACGATGGTACGGATGTGGTATAAGGTGAAGGTAGAAGGAATATGTGCAGCAGTAGCCATTATGTTTCTATATTTTTCATTAAATATGGTCAGTATTCCTTCAAAGCAATTTTTCTTTATTGCTTTTTTGAATCATATGACTTTACGATAAGGTTATCTTGAAAACAACAGATATTAAATCTGTAATTTCTATAACAATGTAATTGCTTGAACTTACAGCGAATTGTAATGCTCTTTCAGCAGCAGCTATATCTTCTTCACTGTCAGATGCGGGTTCCTGCCAGTAAGTATCAGTAGTGATTGACACTTGCCCTGAAAATAATAATTATTGTATATAAAAAATACCAAATTTATTAATAACAAAAAAAATAAAGTGTAATTACAAACGATAGGGTAAACTAAAACTTCTTTTAGTGAAGATAAAATAAGAATTCCCCATCATTTCTATAAAAAAAAAATTCCATTTAAATATTATACTCATCAAAAAATATAGTTTTATCATTACGATTGCTTTGTCTTCTGGTATGTGTCTACATTACTTTGGTTTATATTTTTTCAGTTAATTCACATAATATTTGTTTCGTTAATTCGAATATTAAAAATTACCTACACAATGAGAAATTAAAACCTATAAATCATTGTTTTCATGACCCATACACATATAACTCTTGAAGCAACTATTTCTTACAGAGAAAACTAATAAACTAGATTGTCCTATATCAATGCAATTAAGTAATATTACCATTCTGTGTAGCTCTAAATTCTTGGTCATATATATGCCAAGTTCTAGCATGAGCTTTGAGTACATGATGAGTACATATATATTCTCCTATTCCTGGCGATGCAATTGCTGGGGGAAAAATCCCTAGACTGTAACCATATAGACAAGTTTGTTTGGGTTCATTAAATGTCAGCCAGTATTTTACGTCGTCTCCAAAGAGTTCGAAATTTAGTCTAGCGTATTCAGCGAAAGCTTCTATTACGAACTCGCTTGTCCATCCACCTAAGTCTTGCAACGGTTGCGGCAGATCATAGTGGTACATGGTGACTAGAGGCTCGATGCCATTGTCTTTTAGTTCTTTGATTAGGTTCTTGTAATACGTCACTCCGGGAAGATTAATTTTGTTTACAAACCCTAGAAATGACAACATTATTTGTAACCCAAACAAGCATTAGTGAGAATAAGATAACTGTACCAAATATTACTAGGTACGTCTCTAATAAAGTCATACCCCGCTATTTTGAAATGAAAGCTGTAATAATATTTGTTGAGCAAGTTTTAATAAAAATACAATTTATACTTCTCGCAGTTTTCTTTGTCTCTAGAAAAAAAAAGAAAAACTAAATTTTTGTAAATTTCATTGTGTGGGAATGAGGCCTAAAAGGATAAAAATTAATGAAGCCTTTACATATATTTAGAACTTTTTGTAACATAAGTATCGTGAAACTTGCGGTTGTCTGAAACGTAAATATAAAAATTTGCACGGGCCTTATTTGAGTAAAAAGGTTCTAATAAATCAAATTTAATTAGTTTTTATTTGAATTCTCAATAATAAGAACCATGTATACTTTATAACAAAATGAATTAATTTTTGCAGTCTTAAACGGTGTACCTTAGATTTATCTAATTTATGAATGTCAATATTATATTTCCAAAAATATTTCGAACAGTTTTTCAATATGTTCATAATGTAAAGGTTGATGGATCTCTCTAACAGTAAAAACAATATAATTAAAATGTGCTATTAATGAAACAGTATATTTTGCCACACACAATTGAAAAAATTAAATTAATTTGTGTTCCCCCTATTCAGAAATGTGTAATATTAACAAGGAATGGAATGATTTTTACACAGTATGTTCTCATTTCGACATATTTTAGTTCTTTTAATTAAAAATTGTGTTGATAAGGTCATTTGTTTGTTAAAATTTTAAATTCACTAAAAATTTGACACCAAAACAATTTTACTCATAAATAATATTAAATTTACATTATTATTTTACACTGTGTACTTTTCGTACTATTAAAGCTAGATATATCAGGATTTAAATCATTCCTACTCGAATAATGAGAATGTCATAGATTTACTCTAAATTTTAAAAATAATTACCAAATCAAAAATTGAACATATCCTTTGTTAGAAGCAAAATAAAAAATGGTGCCGAACTTCTAGGGTTCCCACTATCTTACTCACCGATTGGCATGTTTGTAAACTAATTCAGTAAATTTTTATACATAATCAAGTTTCATCAATCTATATCAAACATCTTAGAGAAAATATTTGCATAAATGTGCGTATCCCAAAAACGAAGCGTGCTACTATATAAGGTATTATTATAAGGTATTTATTTCTTAGAATGAGGTCTTCTACCGACCCTTAAATTAAAGTGCGATTTAAAATATTTGATTCACTTTGTACACCTATTGGGTATAATTAGACACAAACGCAAAAGTCACACAGAGAAAAGTAAATGAAGACAGTTTTCATTTGATCTATGCACGGTGATGAATAAAAATAAACGTAACTGCTAAAATAAATAAAATACCTGTAGGAAGTATCCTTGACCAGGATAGAGAAAATCGATAAAAATCAACTCCTAATTCTTTCAACATAGCCACGTCTTCTTTGTACTTGTGATAAGAGTCACAAGCCACATCAGCATTGTCGTTATTAGCTATTAATTCAGGATAAGAGTGCGTATAGCGATCCCATATATTTTCACCTTTGCCATCTTCATCCCATGCACCTAAAATAACAGATTTGTTATTATAACTAGAGAAAAACATGAGAATATTCTTAGAATGTTCTATTTCACGTTTCATATGGTTTAGGTAGCCATATACCATTTTTAATTATTTTGTTTTAGTATTATACATAAATTCTAAAATAACTGCGGGGAATTTGTGAAACGAACATTAAATCTGCACATTTAGATAGAATATTTTTTAATTTCGAAAAATTTTCTCTTTTTATACAAGGTGTTTGGTAAGTCGATACATTCCTTACAGGAGGTTATAGTACAAAAGATTTGTGATATACTTCCTTAATACAGGGATGGCCAGAAGTACGGAATAAAATTCATATTTTTTGAACGAGTTAATTTTTTTTAAAACGCCGAAACATGTTAACTGATTTTGATTTTTTCCCATCTTTCGGTTATATAATAATCAATTTTTCTTCAACCCCCTAATCCCCAGCTACCCCTACTTTTTTTTCAAATGGAAACATAAGGCATGAGGGGGCTCGTTGAAAAGCTTATAGAAAACCGAATCCAGCCATACCAAATAAACAAGTTTTATTTTTTCAATAACAAGTTTTTTTTCATTTAGAAATTGAAACAACTAGATAATTTACAAAAATAAACTCAATGTCGCAAATGCTGAAAATGTCCTCCATTCACTATTTGGCATTCTCCAAGACGATAGTAAAAGCTGTCCACAGCATTCTGAATGACTTCAGCTGGTAAATTATGCATCTCCGCCCTAATCTTGTTCTTTAAATTCTCAATATTATCCGGTCTGTCCTGGTAGACTCTTTCTTTCAAATATCCCCAAAGAAAATAATCCAGGGGTGTTAAGTCGGGGGATCTTGGCGGCCATTCAACTGTACCCCGTCTACCAATCCAGCGATTTGGAAACATTTCATCTAAGTATCTTCGAACATCAATACCAAAATGTGGGGGAGCGCCATCTTGTTGGAACCAAATTCTTTCATTCGGTATATCTGGATCAATTTCATGAGGGAAAATCACAGCTAGAGCAGGTATCAGGTCAAATGTTAGGAAATCCAGGTAGCGTGCGGCAGTAAGATTTTCTTCAAAAAAGAATGGGCCCAAGATTCTGTTGTTGATGATACCTGCCCATACATTAACTTTTTGTGGATGCTGCGTATGCGATTCGCATGTCCAGTGTGGATTTTCCTGGGACCAAAAGCGATAGTTGTGCCTGTTAACCACTCCATTTAAATAAAACGTAGCTTCATCCGAAAAAAGTACGTCTCGTTGAAAACCATTATTGTCGTCACACCGTCTCATCATTTCCTCACAAAATTGTAATCGCCTATCATAATCGTCTTCCAAAAGCTCTTGGACAAGACATACCTTATAGGGGTGGTATTTCTCTTGTTTCAGAAACATTCGAATTGCAGTTCGAGAAGCATCGTGATTGCGGGCCAATGAAACAGTTGAAGTATGAGGATTTTCAACAAGTTCTAATGCAATGTCTAATTTCTTTTCTTCATTCAAAGCACGTGCCCGTCCAGTTTTGGGCAAAGTCTGTACTGTACCGTGTTCCTCAAATTTGTGAAATATTTTACTAACTGTCCCTTGCGAGATTTGGTTTTCGGGATATTTCGCATTAAATAAATCGCGCACTTCAGCCTGACTTCTTATTTTGTCTCCACATCCAAGCAATATCAAGATTTCGATGCGTTGCCTTTCCGACAATACCATTGCAATTCAGTAAATAACTTGATTTTGACACAATAGTAACGTTTCGAACTCCAATTTACAACTAAAGCGAAAAATTAACCAGAAAGCCTGGCAAGTAAGTGGTGCCAAAAAAACGCAACATAAAAAATATATCTTTTTTGCGTTAGCAGTGATAGGTACAGTTTCAAATTCTTTATTTTATTCTGTGCAAATTCATGGAGGATAACACTGAAGATAATTAAATTTTATTTCACTTGTTAAGTAGGTGTTTTATACAACCCTAAAAACCTTGCTATTGAAAAAATAAAACTTGTTTATTTGGTATGGCTGGATTCGGTTTTCTATAAGCTTTTCAACGAGCCCCCTCATGCCTTATGTTTCCATTTGAAAAAAAAGTAGGGGTAGCTGGGGGTTAGGGGATTGAGGAAAAATAAATTATTATATAACCGAAAGATGGGAAAAAATCAAAATCAGTTAACGTGTTTCGGCGTTTAAAAAAAATAACTCATTCAAAAGATATGAATTTTATTCCGTACTTCTGGCCATCCCTGTATACTATATTGCGAAAACGATTAGTTTCCGATTTACAGGGTGTTAAAGTTTTAATAAAAAAATGCAAATTTATAAAGATTGCGGAAACAGCTCAGAATATTTTAATGAAATTGTACAAGCTTTGACAGTTAACAGCTATACATGTTTTGCGATAAAAATATTGTTTTCAGTTTCACCAGTGGCGTGCGCACAGGCAAGTCTTTGGATATATTTAAAAAAAAAGATGATACACCACTGATTTTTCTTAAAATAAAAATTATTTCTGAATTCCTTGTTCAATTTGGAAGAGAAAAGGTATTTTGACTGTTTTTTATGACGCACCGTTTTCGAGTACAAAAAATTGAAATCGATTTATTGTATAGCGTAATCCGGTTTCAATAATTTGAAAAATAGCAGAAATTATGCACTCTGCTTTTTCTTGTACCAATTTTATTAAAAAAAATTATTACTCCTCGTAGCTAACATCAGTCTAAAAAATTTTTATCAGATTTTAGATTCACTATTCACTATCTAAATAGAAATTAGTAAGTTGGCTGTGCACTCGTTTTTATTATTGTTTAACAAAATTAATAATAGCTGTCACTTTGAGTGTTTGAGTGTGGAGCAGTTAAGAGCTCAATTTGCTTTGTGCGTTTTACGTAATTTCCAGTGAGTTCACGTTAGTTATGCGACTTTTTTGCTGAAATGATGGATGTCCTCTACATTATTGGCAAACTGTAATCGCTTGATCAGCGTTTTCCAAACCGGTGGATCGGGAGAGGAGGCCCCATATAATGGCCTAGATCTAACTCCCTTAGACTTTCATATATGGGGTAGGATGAAAAAGTTGGTTTATGCCCGAGAAATATGTATGAGGGAGGAATTAATACAGCGCATTACCGATGCCACTATTACACTTAGGCGGACTTTTTCGACCAGGGTAATCCGGACAGAAATAAGAAGGCGAGCACGTGCGTGCATTGAAGATGGGGACTTCATTTTGAGCAAGATCTTCAGTAATTACTAATAAATAACATAATAATTATATTAGTAATTTTGTTCATTTCCTAACGAGCTTTGTTCTGATGTAATAGGTACTAAAGATTAGTTAAACGAATTTTAAGTTACAGATAACATAATCTAATCTCTAATAGAAGCTTTTACACTGATGTGAACTGCGGGTAGTAATAACGTATTGTAATAAAATTGGTACAAAAAAAAATAAGTGTATAGTTTTTGCTATTTTTCAAATTATTGAAACCGGATTACGCCATGCAATAAATCGATTTTATTTTTTTTACTCGAAAACGGTACGTCATAAAAAAAACAGTCGAGTTACCTTTTCTCTTCAGAATTAAACAAGAAATTCAAAAATAATTTTTATTTTAAGAGAAATCAGTGGCGTAGCATTTGTCTCTTTAAAAATATCCAGAGACGTGCCTGTGCGCACGCCACTGGTGAAACTGAAAACAATATTTTTATCGTAAAACATGTATTGTTGTTGACTGTCAAAGCCTGTAAAATTTCATGAAAGTATTTTGAGCGATTTCCGCAATATTTATAAATTTGCATTGTTTTATTAACTTTTATCACCCTGTCGATCGGAAACTAATCGTTTTCAGAATATGGTATATTAAGAAAATATATCACAAATCACTTATACTATAACCTCCTGCATGGACTTACTGAATGGACTTACTTACTGAATGCATGGACTTACCAAACACCCTGTATAATTTTTTTAGATAAATGAAATATACCTATTTGATCGCCTCATTGTGTTTTCTTAACTTCCAGAAGCAGAATTTCTTGTTTAATGATAAATATCAAATCAGTTTAAAATATATTTGAATGTCATGATTTTGAATTTTTAAAGGAACCCTGATAAACATAATGTATATTTAAATGCTTGTACGAACCATGATTTAAATAAAAAATGTTCATTAGAAGGCATCATATCAGAAGATACCTACATTATTCTAAAACCATTTGTTTCATATTTCTTTCTCATAGCCAACTAATCTTATAATAATAAAACTTACCCTCTATTTGAAAGGCAGCTGTGGAAACACCAAACAGAAAGTCTTCAGGAAAAAGCTTATTATTAGTTTCATTCTGTGCTATGCTAAAAAATAAATATGAAATTTATCGATGAGTGTCACTGACTTGAGCTCCCAGAATATTTTAAAGTATATCTTCTAGAAATATTTTCTGACAATTTTTATTAGCCGTCTTTAAAGTTTCAGAATCAATAATGGCTCATTACGTATATGTCATCATACGTGCAAAGTATTCTCAACATTATTATTCTACTCTAAATATATTCAACCTTTGATTATTTGAATATTCATTACTATTTTGGAAACAGTCCATTTAGTTATCGCATTTTTCAGCAAATGTTATTTCAATGTGAGGAGCTATATTTTTGAACATTTTTAGAATTCAGAAGGTTGTGGTTTGTTTACCGAACAAGCAGTAGTGCCTCAGAAGAAGAAGAGTTGTAAACTCACCTAATTGCAATCAAACAGCAAAATATAAAACCCCTGAGAGACATGACTGATGCTATTAAATGTTTTAGAATGTGGCCTATATATATATGTGTGTTCACATTAATTTATTACAAATACAATTTTACAAGTGCTCTTAGTTTTAAGTACCTAGCTTTAAACACGAAATGATAAATTATTCTTAACGATTTCTTGAAAGTGTAAAAATATCTGAATTATTTACAAAACAGGATTATTTTATTTGTGACATATTTTATAAGTACTGAAATCGATTGAATTGAATTGATTATCAAAAAACTAGGCTAACGAGTGAATTATAGAGTAAGGACAAAAAATATAGAGTAAGTTTAGCAAAGTGATGGTGAATAATGTTTGTTCAAATAACTAATTTATAAAATTTAAATAGATGATAGAGGTGTTGTTTTAAGCAACAATTGATTTGTATAGAAAATTATACATATCCTTCAGTTTCATTTTTATAAGTAATTTTTGAGTAGCATCTCTTAAATCGACATCAAATGGAAATTTATTACATACATTAAGGGATTCACACAATCACTATTTCTAGTTCATATTTTATTAATCTTCTGCAAAAAAGGCCTTTAAAAAATGCTTGGTTAATTTTAAAAGAATTAAAAATGCTTGATATTATTTTATAATATGAAAAAATATCTTAATTGTTAATTTTATTATATTTCTAAAATGGTATGGGATAAATTTATCAAATTAATAAATAATAAAACATCATTTCGTATAGAAAAACGCTTTGAAATATGTTATGTTTTTTATACGACTAACTTGACATTCATTTTAAATTTTGTTTACAAATTTAATCATCAAAACATATTCTTCTAAGTGACAGCTAAAATATTTTGTAACTGAGATATCTAATATCTAAAATGAAAACATTTTGCTTGTGAGGGGCTCGTGCTGTAATACCAGACCTAATAGTAACAATAACTTTATCTTCTATATAATTTTTATCTAATACCACGTTGGTACTTAAAATTGCGAAAAATATACATGTTGAAATATTGTATAGATCATTGGATAAAATTTTGTTCAAACGTTGTTAGAGATTAAATGTATAATTTAATATCCTTAGTAACTTTTACTGTATTTTGGAAAACTTTTACTACAATTTACCTATTATTAACTGAATAATTTCAAAATGTAGATTTGGATAGTTTAAGGGCCCCATATTCTTTAAATAGTGTTTTCCGCAGACAAATAATTTCAAACATTTAATAACTGAATAATCTAAAGCTTATCAAATAATAGGAATGTTATGTCATGCCACCTGAGTATTTTCAAAGACGCCGCAGTAAAACGAATAAACAGGTGCAAAAAACGATCAAACCATCAAGGTTTTAGGTACTGAAATCTACGAAAATACTAACTTTTTTAAACATAACTCCACATGTAAATATTCTTATAACATTTACTTGATTAGTCCTACATATAAAATTGTTTACTTTTATTTATAAGTACGTGAAAATAATTCTTAAAATGTGGGGTTAGGATAACAGAAAACGCATGTTTTACAAACGCTTTTTTTTAGTTATATTTTATTAGGGTAAATTTAAATGGTAACAATGAATAAACAAAACATCAATGATTTTATTTTTGTGCTTACTTTTTTTCTACACATTTTACTTTTCAAGATTTCAATACCTAATGATGCCAGAAATTTCACCATTTCTCGGCCACCTTAAAATTATTTCAAATTTATTTAACTGCGTTATCATATCTATACATTGAAAAAAATTTCCTTTATTCAATCTTTTTTTTTCATTGCAAATAGCCCATTTTTCAGATAAGGTGTTTTAAAAATTCTGCTATCCTTAAAGATAGTTTTCTTCAATAGTTCTGTGTCCGATTGAAGATCTCAGATCACGGTCATCTATTGGTTGCGTTGTCCGCTGACAACGTTGTCGGAACACATTCTGGGAACGGTACGCTATGAGGAAATCAGCCACAATTCACTGAATTTTTGTTTTTTATAGAGTAAATGACTCAGACACACAAAAAGTAGTCTTTTGCACGGATATGACCCATGACAATATATGTATTTTTAGATCCAGAAGCGGAATCGTTATTGCCTTGCAAATTCTGTAAATATAGCATTAAAAGCAGCGAAACTATGCATTCAGTAGGTTTCTCTTAGAGCACAGCACTGGAAGTGAATTGACTTATTTTCGGGAGTTCATTGCATGTATCCAGAACTCGATCAACTCTTGCAACTCAACTCAAGCCATATCTTGAAAGAAAATGTTGGTCCTGTAACCCTGCAGTTCTTGAGGTATACCTTTATTACCCGATACCCTAAAATCTGCTACATCTTTACATTTAGCAGGTTTCTTCAGTACTGTCAACGTAGTTTACCACCATGAATATATGATTACTACTGGATGTTGAAAAGAGATAAAATCAACAAAAGAGAAATCTTCTTCAAAGCCCGCTGGAAAATTGAAGAGAGCGATACAAAAGGAAATAAAATTACTATCATTGTATTAATTTAATGGAGTCTTGGGGTGAAGTTTTATGACTGAGTCGATTTTCTTGACTCATTCATAGCTGCCTTCAGGTTTATCATGATTGCAGTACTCGCAGAGTACCATCCAAATGCAAATTCGTGGCAGATTTTGAGACTTCGGAAAGTAGGGGGTTTCGGTGTCCATCAAGAATTACAGGGCTATAGGCTGATTCTACCTTTGCATATTGTGTGAGTAGATTATACTGTATGCAGTATCTGTGTGTGAAGAATTTAGTTTGATGTCCTATTAAATAAGTTACTGTCACTCACTTGCCCGCTGTTTGGGGGGCGAGGATCCCGCAGTCTCCGGGATATTTTGTGGTTTGAGTTTGTCACTTCATTCAGATGAATGTTGCTGATTTTTAGGTTTTAGGAGCGATTTCCTGACACTTACCTGAGATTAAGAGGTTGTAAGGGTTGATTGAATCCTTGAATACATACCCGAATAAGCAATGCGTTCCGGACTTCAACTCGTTTCCAGGTCTGAGCAGAAAAAAATACTTAGTATATGTAGAATTTTGGTTGTTTTTTAGGTTTAGGCGTGATTTTTGGCAATTAAAAAAAAACTAGAAGTTGGATCACATCCCAGTTTTGGTTTTTGGGGGTTAAAATACATAGGTTGGTATGGATTTCATCCTCGGAACAGGTTACTTTCTTTCGTGTGTCTGTGTTACCAAACAAATTTCATCTTTCAGCGTATATTAAATATTTTCAGATGTTTTGAGTAAATGCGATATTTTGCAACATGACCTACCTCGAAAACCAATGTTTTTAGATCCTTGGATATGGACTTCAAAACTTATTGTATACAATACATAACACACCTTGCTGGGTGGATCTCAATTCTTCATCATTAGCATGCCAGGCTTTAGCATGAGCTTTGAGCACAAGTAATATGCTATTCCAGATCCGCAGTACAGACCCACCTGTACCATACCTGACTAAATAAAACTGCTTGGGCTCGTTAAAAGTCAATATACGTTACCGAATAGCTAGCTTGCATAGTCCGCGTAAGCATCTATTATGAAACCATTAGGCCAACCACCGATATCTTGTAACGGTTGAGGCAGATCCCAGTGGTATGGAGTTATTAGGGGTTCGATGTCGTTGTCATTTAGTTCTTTAATTAAATTTTTGTAGTATTTAACGCTTAATTTCGTTACTATTTAGTAAAAATGTCATAAGAAATGACGCTTAGAAGTGAAGTAAACTGCAATTTCAGTATAAAAAAATATCGTAGATATTAGATAAATACATTAATAAACCTTTATAGAATAGAATTAATCAGAACTTTTTTTATATAATAATATTTTTACAAATTTAAAGAACCCTACACTTAAAAGGTAGATCAATACTTATCGTCGATTAAAGGGGAAACAATACTAGCATGATTTAATAATATCAGTCAAATGTGGCATCAGCTGACGTTTTTTATCTTCCTTTGTTTATAAACGTGAAAGATACATTATCTCTTTCTTTAAATCATGATTAATTTTATGAGTAATCCTCATAGATCAAAAATTTAAAAAACAAAACTTGAACTGATTCATATGAGCTCCTTTTGACAGCGATGTTTCAGACGGGTCAGGGGAGCTAAGGCTCTTTAAACACTTTATTTTTTACAATTTCTAATAAATATCATTATTTGTTTTATTTTTATAACATTAACGTACCGACTACCGTGGTGGATAACTGAACAACTAGATATTCAGTTTAATTTTATATTACAGTAGGTTTTAATAATACCAACAAAAAACAGGTTGAAACAATGAGCAGATGAAGTAAAAACTTCTGTCTGTATACAAGAATATATCAAATAATCACTTAAAATTTCTCGCAATTCTGTAGAAGAACATTATAAATAATTTTAATATCATTTGCTGCGTTTTTATAATTTGTTACAAATGTGCATGCTTTTCCATATGAAAGTACCAATAAAAATTTACAAAGTTTGATACCCGAAATAGATTTATCAGTTTATTACAACATCCAATAAGTCCATTGTTTACAAACTGTGAGTCATATTAGATATCTCAAAAAATACTCAACAATACTATCCAAAAACTTATTGAAAACAAATAAAAAATTTAGTCTCTTCAAGCTTTGATGAATTAAATGAGACGAGTAAAATAAGGTAATGGTTTGCTAGAACTGTTTGATGTCTTCGTTTCATGAAGGAACGTCATCATACACCGTGAATTATTAAACTTTGCGAGTTTTTGTAAATTTGTACATTTCAGGCACCCGTAAATTTTGAGGAAATGACTTGAAAAGAAATTTTGAAAAGATATGGCGAAGAAGCTTCATATTGCATTGTAGTTACGGCAAGTCAAATATGCACAGTGCACAGCTTTGGTGTCCATTGAATATAAAAAGTTTAAAGTTTATTTATTTTTATGTTAATTGCAAGCACACAACGTTTCAATATGATAATAATAGTGTAGCGAAAGTCGCCCTAGTGTAGGTACTTTGTTTATACATCTGTTTACTTATTTGTTTCGTGATGTTTCT